CCTTCCCCCCCCCCACTCCTATCCTTTCTCTGGCCCTGCACTTCCTTTTTTAATTTTTTTCCCCTCCTTATTTTGCTTTGATCAGTAAAATAAACTTTTAAAGATCGGTTCTGGGACGGCCTCCAGGTTCTGAGGTAAAAGATGGCCGGGGTTCAGCCACGATTCGGGAGTGAAGGGGTTGGAGCAATTAAGTTGACAGCTTTCAGGCCAGGGAGCTCGGAGAGCGCAGGTCTGTCTGAGTTAATACAGATTTTAATTCACCCAAAGGGCCTTTTCTCCCCCACTCTCCGGAATGGATTATTTGTCCGGGAGAGGAGGCGCTTGCTAGGGGTTCAGAAAGGGAAGGGAGATCTCATAAATGCAAGTCAATCCTCCCATTCTCAGTGCTGCAGTTTGTCTCCTTCCAGAACTAGGAAAAGTCACTTCCTTTTGAACAACAGCTCCTGGTTTCACCCAGCGTGGCCACTGGTTGTCTGAAATGAACACTAAGATTATTTTCTAGAGAGAGAGAGAGAGCAGTGGAGAGCTGACTCTTCAGCCTAAGTCTTCAACTGGCTTTGTGATTGGTCACTGGGAGGTAAACCGGGCCATCATTTGCATGTCCCCTTTGCTCAGGCACACAGCGCTGAGGCGGTCACATTGCTGTACAAATTCTGGGAGCCATGGCTCCAGCAAAGTGGTTTTACCAAGATGGAGCCCTCTTTATCTATATCTACAGGCCTTTAAGCTAAAAGAAAGGGCGGTGTCAAATTCTGTGCATGTAGGAGAAAATTGCACAACAAGGAGGAGATAAATGAGAGATGGAGTTACACAACTCGAGCGCTTCCAGCGCCTTGAGGAGTCTGATTCAGGAAAAGCTTTACCGTGTTATTTCCTTGATGAGAACATGGTGCGGGATGGTTACAAAAGTTAATGTTTTCAAAAAGAGGATTAGACCTGGTTTCTTTGTTTCTATTCTGCCTTTCCTTTAAAGCCGGCGTTCCCAACCTTGGGTTCCCCAGATGTTCTTGGACTGAAACTCCCAGAAGACTTCACCACGAGCTACGCTGGCCAAGATTTCTGGGAGATGTAGTCCAAGAACATCTGGGGACCCAAACTTGGGATTCACTGCTCTAAAGAGATCAAGGTGTATCATATGTGGTTCTAATTTTCCCTGCTTTAGCCTTACAACAACAGGTTGGTCAGGATGAGATTACTGTGATATATCCAAGGTTTCCTACTAATGTTTAAAACTAAGCAGAGATTTGAATCTGGCTGTCCTGAGTTCTAGCCGCTATATCACCCTGGCTGTCATCAGGGAGAAGCTGTATTGTTGAGTCTTAACCATGACCGCCTTATTAGACTTCTGGGTTGTATCTCAAGAATCTAAGAAGAGCCTAAAGGGACTGTGTGGGACTTTCAGATGTTTTCAGACTCCCGTACCCATCACGCCCAGGTAGCACCGCCAGTAGTGAACATTCATAGGAATTGCAGTCCAACCATATCTGAAAGGTCCCATCCTGTTTTTCACACTCAGATACCATAAGCAGTAGCACCTCAACCCCGTTTCCCCCAGTATCTGATCTCCAGAGTCATACTCTTGGTCCCCAGCTATGATTTATGGGAAATCAGCCCTCCCATGTTTGGAGCAGTCTATCTTAAGAGTACCAGGTCCTGAGACCAGCTGCTATTTTTGTACCCTTTCCCTGGGATTCTCAGAAACGTCTGGAGGACCATCGCCCAAGGCTGGGCTTGCATACCTGGGGGGGGCGGTTTCTACCAAAGTTCTTCTGGTGTAACTAATCCAGAAACGAAAAACACATGGCAAAATAAAATACTCAGATTTCAACATGTTTTTGTGCTTCAGTTCAAACTGGGCCTGATTCAACAAGGTGGCAGTTTTTCTCCTCTTAAATTTCCGAATGTTTGAAAATTGGAACGATTGGGGAAACTTCTCTTCACCCCAGGCCAATTTGGCTTTATTTTATTTTAAAGTTCTGCTCGTTTCCCATGTTTTCACCCCGGCTGTCCTTCGATAGATCCAACTCATTTTCCTAACGTTGATTTTGGAAGAGGGCCGAGCGCCAGGATCAGCCGCCGCAATGCACCGTGCAGCCTTGAGTTCTCAAACTTCCCCTCACGAGCTGTCTTAGATGTCAAAGGGAGGTTTAGTCTGTCCAACATCTAACTCAGGCCAAAAAGCATTACGATTTATTAAAAACTGGAGAGAAAGATGGCGGGCTGAAGCCAAGTTCATTTCGCTTGGGGCCGAGAGTCGTAGAAATACACCCAAGCCGTCATGGACAAAAGCAGAAGTTTTTTTTTAAAAAAAGAATTTATGTTTAAATCCACTGTGGTGTTTAAATTTAAATGGCATTTATGTGTATGTTGAAAATACAACAGCATGTGTATTTTACTGGAAAGTGCTTTGTGAGACTCTGGGCTAAATCCAGTGTTAGTCTCAGCTAAAGTAAACCTATTAAATCAAGGGCACTTACATCACTGTTGACTTTACTAAGTTGTTGATTCAGTGGGTTTCTTTTTAGTTAGAACGAACAAGGAGATTTAGACCTGTGTGTCTCAAGGTTGCAGCCGCACATGAAACTGTACACTTTTAAATTTTTATTAAGAATAAAATCATACAAAAAAGTTGGGATTCCCCCAAGAGTCTCTAAAGAGTGGATCTGGTCATCAGAGCAAAAATATACTATAAAATATACTATTAAACTATAAAAAGTTTAAGCCAAGAGATCAAATTAATATTCAAATTATATAGGAGCCTTTCTCCTTTCCATGCTACTCTTAAAAATCTCTAATTTGTATTCCTATAACTTTAACTCTTTCTTCCAGTAACAAATGTATTTATTAAAGATCGTTCTGTTATAAGCTGGTCTCCCTGAAGCTTCCTACAATATGTTGCTTTACCCGTAAATACTCTATCCAGAAAGTTATTCTCTCGTTCTTTTGAAGCCAGCAGTCTTCACTTTTTCCAATATTTTGCCATTAACATTCAGGCCTGCAACAATGAGCTCAAGTTACAGGCTGAAGATCAGGAAAAACTTCTTAACTGTTAGAGCAGTACGACAACGGGATTTCGGGAGGTGGTGAGTGCTCTCACACTGGAGGCCTTCAAAATAAAATGGTGCAATGAGTTGTCAGATATGCTTTGACTTTTCTTCCTGCATCGAGCAGAGGGTTGGATTAGACCACCCATAACGAAGCGGTTGCCTCCCTCTGCCTAACGAGAGGGCCAGGCCTGGGGCCGAGTGGGACCTTCCGCATTCTGCAGGACTGGCATTGGTCTTGACTGTGAGATCTTCCTTTGGCACTCGCCCAGCGCCAGAGACGAATCCTAAGGCGTTTTGTCTATCACCCACTGCCCTCCGGTGACTGGCTGAGGATCCCATGGGCTGAGCTTGTCTGGGTGTTGCACACTTGCGAGTCACGCATTTGCCCTTTCCTCTTCCCTGCAGAAACGCTGCGCATGGATTCTCGCTCATCCAGGTGGACAGCATGAAGGTCACCATGAAGGACGTTTTGCAGAAGGCTTTGAAGCGGAGGAAAGGATCTCAGCGAGGCACAGGTGGGGCGTCCTTCTGCGGCTGGCACTTTGCTCCCTTCCCTTAGGAATCCAATTGCAGCTGTGGTTGGGGGGAAACCCTATTCTCCTTTCCCAAACAAGGAGCGGAAATCCTGGGCGGTTGTGTTTTGCTTCGTTGCCACGGCACACGTGTTCCCAACTTGTGCATCCTTTCCAGGTCCTTAAACAGAGAAGATGCTCACAGTGAGCCTGTTAGGATGTAGCCCGTCTCCCTAACCCCACGGGAGTCATCCTTCACTCGTCACAGTTTACGTTCCCCTTTTTTTAGAACTAGTGTCAAACAAAGATACGAATTGAAACTGTAAACCAATGCAATGGTACTTCATAACCGAGAAGTAGGTGCTCTCCGGAACTGTCAAACGAGGCCGTTCCTTCCCAAAACGCAGGATGATGGTTAGGAAGTCAACGGCATTCATGTCAACACACCTGAAGGCTGAACCGGATGGAGCCTTTTTAAAGAAATCTTGCTTTAAAGCAGAAGCGCCCCTTAAAATGTCTGTTAAGGGTGAGGAGACGTCTTTCATCTTGGGGAGGTGGAGGGGGGGGCGAATTTCGTTTCAAAGACATTCCCAGGGTTTCTGTTGGAGCAGGGCAGGCTAGCCGAAGGCAAAACGGCGAGGTCTAAAATAACAACTGTAAAGCTATTCATTGCTAGGGACTATATATCAGTTTTAGAAAATGGACAGGGTGGGGCAGGAAAAGCACCTAATGGGGGGATATCCTGGGAAATAAGGTGTACACTTTTACGTATTCTAGAACAGCCATTCCCAACCTTTTTTTTTTGCCATGTCTATAAAGACAATATGAAAGAAATAACAGGCTTATATGCGTCGCCTAATGAAGCTTATAAGAAAGTGCGTGAAGAATTGTTTCCAGACTATGATCCCCTTCAAATGTTCCATGGGGTTCTGTGGGAAAACGACTGCCCAAGTTGATAACCGCGAGGGCCACCATGAGATCCAGGGTCTGCAGTCATTCGCCGTGACCGAAGTGTGTGGCCGGAATCTTCTGTGCTTTCTTAAGACGCTCCAGTGTGTGAAATGTCCATGTTCCAGCCATGCGCTTACGGTGTGTCCCTAAGCAGCTGCCACTTAAATTCTCATGGGGGGGTGAGTCGAATACAAGTCCAGTCAAAGAGGGTTTCTTTCCACCTCCGGGTTGCTGCTTCTGAGCGGACACCACCAGAGGAGGACAGAGTGGGAAGCTCCGAACGCTGGTTCACCCAGGAAATGAACCGGCGCGCACCACGAAAGCGGTGTTTTGTGTTCCTCTCTTGCTCTTGAGCTTCCCGAGAACATCTATTATGGGACTGGGCTCCCGAAAGTTTTCATTGTCTTAGCTATCAAGTCTCCACATCTGATCTTTGGAGTTTTAAGGCTCTCCCTTTACAAAAAGTTCTTTAGATGCCCTTAAAGAGTAAGGAGGCTTCCAATTTTCCTGGTTTTAATTGTGACACCATCCGGTTCAGTGACTTCACACTTCTGCTTTACCTATATCTACCTGAGCAGGTAGATTCTTAAAGCCCCAAAGCCTAGAATATCTTTCTTGGCCCTAAAAGAACTTTAATATCAACCTATCTATAGGCCAGATGGAGATAAACATCTTGTCTTGCTTAAATGAATGAAACACTTCTTATTTTTCTCCTCTCCCCCCCTTTTAGTTTTAACTGCCCTGGGGGGAAAAAAAACATAATTCTCCTTCACCCAGGGTTCTGTTTAGGGGAAAAGAAAAAAATAGTTGAGCACCTTTTCCGCCTCTCCCCACCCCACCCCCCACAAGCTGCTTCTTCCAACGAGTCTATAATCTGTCACGGATTTAATTAGCTATCTTCAGATGAAAGCTGAAGTTTTAATAAAAGTTAGAAGAGATAACACGGCGAAGGACACGGATGAGGTGTCTCAAGGCCATATTGCCGGGGAAAAACGATAAGAGCTGTAAAAAATGGCAGTGGAGAGCAATTGAATGAAGCAGTGAAAATCTGATTCTCGTAAAAGAGAGAGAGAGAGAGAGAGGGAACGTACAGAGTACTGGTAGTGTTGGTTGGAGACGAGAACCTGCGAGCCATTTGGCTGTCCGCCAGGCGTCATCGTTCACCCTGGGCTGTTGCCGTCTCGGGCCAGATGTGCCAGCGACACGTTCGGGGGCTTTTGCCAGCTGACTGCGCCGTTTGATAACCGGCTCTCCGGATGCCCATCGCTGGCCGCCGAGATAGAATTAGATGATGATGATCTTCCCACAAGTTGAGAGAGGAAACAATGCATATAAATCTTGATTTCATCCCAGCGTGAGAAGTCTTTATCCATCATCGCTCATAATGAACAAGTCGTTAGGCGGGATGAATGGTCTTCTGGTTTTTTTGTTAAAAAAAAACTCTCCCTACGCCGACCCACAGCGCCCCCCCAACCTTCTTCCACCCCCCTACACCTCTTTTGTTTATTAGACAAAAAAACAATCCAGGTGGCTTTTATTCTGCTTCCTCGGGGGGGGGGTCGAATTTCTCTCTTTCTATTCTTGTGCTGCTAACGGGAACAGTGGAAGTTTTTGTCTTAACCGAACTGTTTGGTTGCCTTCGGGCCGAACGGATCAAAAGCAGTCCAGTTTCTCTGCTGATCACCTTCTCGTTAAACTCTTCCCAATGTGTGTGGTGGTTTGTTTGTTTGTTGTTTGGTTTTGCTTGCCTGCTTGTTTGTTTTTAACCCAAGATTCTCATCTTGGCATTGCGGGATGTCCAGCTGAATCCTAGGATTTAGCTGGGTGTTTTGAGAGCCGTATTTGGCTAACCCTGAGGGACTAAAAGGCACTTTAAAACAGAATATGGGTTAAGTTTGCCTCTCGCCTTTCCTTACTTCCTCATAATAGTGAAACAGCTGATGGTCAGCTGCTGACAATGAATAGCAGGGAGATTAAGGATGAATAAAAAGGCCTTTTTTTGCACAGCCCATAGTTAAACTGCGGAACTCCCTGCCCCTGGATGCAGTGATCGCTTTGGATGGCTTTAGAAAAGGATTGTAGAGATAAATGGAGGAGCCAGAGGCTGGGAATTCGATTCCCCCATCGGGCCTCCTGGACGGGCTGGCAACTGGATGATCTCATAATGTCCCTTCCAGCTCTGCCGTTCGAAGATGATATTACTATATAAACAGAACTCAAGTCACTAGAATTTCCCGTTTGCTCTCTTTAAAAAGGGAATTGAGGGGAAAGGGAGTGTTTGTAATGAACTAACAAACATTGACTGTTGCGGCATCTCAGGTGAGCTGATTTCATGACAGTTAATTAAGGGTTCTCCCCCCACACACACACACTTAGCTGCATAACTAGACAAGCCTTATGTTGTCGGAAGTGTCTGCACATTCCTCTGTATGTGTATTTTCACTAGGTCTTTGTTTTGTTTTAATTGAATTGGATTCGTTTGGGTTGCACCAGATCAGGTTGGGTTGGGTCAGGTTGGATTTCTATCCACCCTTTCCCACCCCCCACACCCCGTGCAGTGGCTTTCCCTATAACGAAACAGACGAAGAGCAATTCAAACAATATCCGAAAATATCAAAGCGCAATTGGATTATTGTCCTCTTAAACGGAGTGTAGTCAAAAATTCCACTTCTGCTTTGGTTTTCTTTGGGAGATGGTAACGGGGTCGCAAGGACGCTGCTTCCTATTTTACAGGACAACCACCACTCCCGGAAGTAGAAAATGAATTTCTTGCACATACAGAACACCAGTTTTCTTTTCAGCCAGGGTGGACGTAGGGACGTTTGCAGCCCCCCCCCCACAAGGGGCCATGAAAATGTTCTTTCTTTCTTTGCTATCATTTATAAGCTGCTTTTCTCCCAACAAGGAGACCCAAAGTGGCTTATAAGGTCCTAGGGGCCACCTCCACCCCACAATATGTGCACCCTGGGCTAGAAAAATGATCCGATTCAGTCCAAAGCCAGCTTGTATAGATTCGTAGCCTCTGCGACGAAGAACTCCTTTACGGCCGGTGTCCCTGGACTGCGCCAGCTCCAGCTTCAGTTTGAAATCCGTTCTCATCCTCAACCTATTTACTCCGCTCCCTCCCTTTCCCGGAGTCACCTTTGGGGAGCACTGACCTTCCCAGCCGTTCCTCCGTTGACTTTTCATTTAAAAATGCCATTCCAGACCCCATCGCCGACAACCTTTACCAGCTTCCTCAAGCATGAGGTTAGCAGTGGCAGAGCGAGTCTCCGAGTGACAAATGAGACCTTGAAGCTCCCCTCCGTATGAGTTCCTTTTTAGAAACAGACGAGCGAAAACATTTCAGGGTCTTTTTCCATCCTGAAACGAGAGCGCCGGTCAGCCATTCTTCTCAAATAGGGCATCCCCATCGATTCTTCGCCCCTTCTTGTCCCAACCCTCATGGGTGGGTTGTCTATGGAGCCATGGCTTGGTTTGCCGTTCCTGCACGCTTCGTAACTCGTGAGGGTGCGCAGTCCCAACCAACCAACACCCTTTGGGCTACAATCTCGTTGACCTTCACCACTTCAGAAGGTGTCATGAATGGGTGATAGCAGAGCCGAGGGTCTCAACCCAAGTGGGAGACAAGTAGAGTCAAACGGGTGTAGACGTCAGACAGGAACTCTGAATCTGCCACTCTCCGTCCATGTGGAAGTGGAGTAGAGCTCTCCCACAAGGGGTGCACCCTGCCGCAAAAATGCCTGTGGGTATCGGTGTGTGCTGTTGGACGGATAACTCAGTGAGTTTGGTATCTGGCTAGAGGTTCGGAGTTTGATTCCCCACTGTGCCTCTCAGGAGGGCAGCCAGCCTGTGTAGCCTTGGGCAAGACGGAGTGCCCCCTGAAGAAAGGAATGGTAAACCGTTTCTGAGTACTCTCTACTTAGGAAACCCTAAAAAAAGGGTCACCGTAACTCAACGTTGGGAATGGTAAACCATTTCTGAGTGCTCTCTACTTAGGAAACCCTTAAAAAAGGGTCACCGTAACTCAACGTTGACTTGACAACCCATGG